TATTTTTAAAAAGTATGCACTAATGATATTAAAGCTGTTATGCAGCAGTATACCCACGTCATTATTCCCTGTTCCAGTTAGAGCTAGTCAACTCCACATGGAAAACACAAACTTTTGCTGAAGAATGGCACAGCCATCTTGCACACAAGATTCAAGTGTGATGGAACACCAGGAATCAGACATTATGAGCTAAAAACACCTGAGAGTAAACAGACCATGAGCCATCTGTTGCTGTATCTCCCCACCATCTGAAGTTCCAAATAAAATCAGAGATTTTTATTGTGCATTTAGTGAGGGTCATTAATCCCCATCTTTCTAGTTTTTATAGAACGATCTAACTATACTTTCTTGCAAAGCAGTTTTAAATAGTTTTTAAAGGACTCTTTATATATTGTAAGTCTATAAGCATTACTTCAACTGTATTTAAGTTTTGCATTGGTTAAGTCAGAATGAAAAGCCACTCAACCATCTGTTATTAAAGTATATTACAGGTAAATTTTGACAACCAAATATTTTTATTGTAGAAAAACATCTGTGTTTATAGTCACCATTCCTAAACCTAAAATTAAACATCCTGGCACACCTGCAATTTTGAATGTTAATTTTCAGGGTAAGTTGGTTTTGCCTTTTTTTTTTGTGTTTGTTTAGCTTTGGTTAGGGATTTTTTAAAATTAAAAAAACCCCTCACATCAAAAGCACTGATTAGTTTCCTTCTTTCTTTCACCTCCTACTCCAAAGTATTAATTACCATTTAAATTTTACATGTATACACACATATATACAAACACACATGTACACACACACCCCACTGTACTTATAGATAACTCTCTCTTTTTCCAAGGAATCATTGTCATCTTTAAGCTATTTGTGAAAAGGTCATTCTTGAAAACAAGGACATTATCTGCGCTGCAATTAGTTTCTCCGGATAAAGATCCAGCATGTTCCATCCTGTGTCTCCTAATGAAGAACTGTACGTAATGGTATGCAACAGATGTAATTTTTATTATAAATAGGATTTGAGATATAAGCCAAACTGTTGTATTCAGTTTCCTTTTTGAAAAATAGTGTTAGCTCTTCAAAAAGAATTTTTAAAAAATCATATATACTGAGCTAGCTTCCTTAGAATTCTCCCTCAGTCTGGACTCTAATGCATCTCAGGGATCCAAATTAAATATCAGACCTTCAATACATCAAAATTTGTGTTCAGATAAGACATGTTGGAAACCTAATCATCTTTATACTCAAAAAGCATAATAAATAAAAATAACAGAAGCATTTGAAGTACGTGAAGCTCTTAATATTGTGAAGGTTTTCACTAAAAGACGAGCCCTACTTATGCCATAAAACTTGCTAAATTAACTTTTCCTTACACTATAAATTTTTTCTACCTGAGACGTACAAGCAATGGACTGGAGACTCTTACTCTTACAGATGCAACAGGTAGCCTAGAAGGAGTTTTCTCTTTTAAAGAAGCATCATATCAGTGAGATGCCTCCAATAAGTGAAATGCTGTGCCTGCCAAAATTCAAGACAATTGCCTACAGATCTCTTCTATGCTCAAGAGGCATATCAGAAACACTACATACTCTTCAGTAGAAAAACTTTAAATTTTTTTCTGATTTTTTTCCTCTATCCTGAGGAATACATTTGAGAGAGAGAGAGTGTATACATATATATATATATATATATATCTTTCAATCACTGTTTTATTCCCTATGCTTTAAATATATTTATTAAATCAATCATACTAGACCAAGGGCTGACAGACTTCCATAGAAAACTCAGTTATTCAAACGAAGATTTGCTATGCTAAAATAATTCATATTTTCCTTACATATTCTCAAAAGCATGACAGAAAAGCCAGTATTTGTTTCCATTTTTCAGAATTCTCTTCTTTTAAATACTCCGTGATACCATGATAGTATATCCTCTATCGTGCTATTTTGCTTAAAGTACCACCTTCTAGTTTTCATTTAATTTTGTATTGATTTTGTATTTTGAATGCAATTCATCATTACTGAGAGTTGTCTCTAGCATTTGCTCAGCAGACACTGCTTTCTGTTTCCTGCATACTAATTAAGTGCTATGGAACACAGAAACAGACTTAGGGTTGAGAAGCTTTTTTCTAAATCATACTTCATTTAGGACTGAAAACAATTTTAAAAGATGCATACTCTTATATACTATATTCATTCACCATCATGCTGTTGGACTAGGTGACCACTGTAAGTCCCTTCCAACTGATATATTCTATATTCTGCCTCTTCCTCATTTAAGTTTTTACCTCCCAATTTTTGTACTACCAAAAACCACTGCAAATTATGTGCCGTGAAGGAGTGTTAATGTTTCAGATATATTTTGTTAAATAAAAAGACTGAACAAAAGCACAAATTACATCAGTTGTGATTAGTACTGACACATGGCAGAGGTGGCATCCTCATAACTACTGTATTCAAATCTAGAGTTGTGTAGCACTCTCAGGTAACAGAAATATAAACTGTACTTGAGAGGTAAACTATGAACACATGAAAGTTATTTTCTAAATGCTGAAGTCTCCACAATTTTCTGCTGTGTCCTTACATTCAATAAGTACTCATTTTCATCACCTATCCTTACTCAGAAACACAGCAGCATTCTCTTTACACGGTTTCACTAGGGCTCAGTCAAAATGTCCATGATAAAGTAGACATAAGCATCTCAAAATATGCATCATTCTATAACAAATGAAATCAAAAGTTTTTTCATTTCCATAGACTCTGCAGGTTACCTCCTGCTCCAACTTAAAGAAAAACAAACACAATCTACATTTTAATTAATCATTTTAGAAGAATCTTTGCATATGTATACACATGACTGAAGTATTTAAGTACAATACCCATCAAGACCCCTAATTTCATTAATAGATACTTCACTCGTTTTTGAAAACTGTACTTCAAAACCATATTTTTGGGGTTGCTTGGGGTAAAATTCCTGTCTAAGTCAAAAAAACTACAAAACTAGTCACTAAGTCACACTGTAAAAGCTAGATTTGCCTTTAGTGTCACTTACAAACAAAAATAAATAAATTAAAACCAGGATTTAAGCTAACACTTCACAGTCCCTTAAGTCTATAGTTTCTTGATCACCTTGAGGCAGAACAAACCAGCACCACTGCCAAAAGAATTGATCCTGTCCTCTGTACCAACTCCAGCCACTCATACACCCCTCTACATGTGTCTTCACTCAGTCCCACAGTGAACTGAATTGGGAAATTGATCCATGTCCAATTAATCAAAAAGAAAAAAACCTTCCTAGGGAGATGCATTCAAAATTGCCTTCACTGCTTCCTGATTTATCTTCCCAGTTCTCTCAACAGAAATTAAAATAAGGCAAAGCCACATTTCAGGACCTCCCAGAATGACATTGGCCATGCAGCTCCAAGGAAGCAGAGAGAGACCTCCCTGAAACATGTTTGTTATTGGTAGTGGAGGCAAAGCTATCAGACTTTGGGATCTATGGGACACCCATTTGGAAAACCATTTCTGTGAAAACTGCTTCAGGTATCCCACTTGTAATACATCTGTCTGAACTGGCTGAGTCCATCAGTTGGGTGGTCAATGCCATGGAAAGGCTGATTCGTACAGAATCAAACAGTCCTTCACAAATCAGCTTCTCTTCTGTTATGAGATGGTTTCTGAACATCTGGGCTGTTTAGACACACAGAGTGATATAGCTGGCCCTTGATACACAGGAGTACCAAGTACATTCTGCTTGTGATCCAGCAGTCCAAAAGTTGGAAGCTGTAAAACCAGTAAGACTATCCTGGCACTATCACAAAGACAGGACTTAGGACAGAGTAACTGACAGCTCTGCTGGACTGCTCATCCTCCTGCTGGACTGCTCATCCTCAAAAGCCATGTAATATAGGCCAGAAGAAGCCAGGAAACAGGCACAGGTAAGGCATATTCAAAAATATTTATATTTGGTACTTTTGAAATGACTACATACTATTAGTTTTAAATATGCTCTAATTTAATTGAGATAAAAATCAGACTGTGGTTAAGACCAGGGCTGACCAAAACTGTTATTCTTGACTCAGTTTCTAAGAAACAGGTATCCACCAATTTTTGAGGCCCATCCATAACACTCTCTCTACTTTCTAATTTTAAAATCTGAATGGATTTTTCCTATGTAATTACACAACTCCAATCCGCTTTATGCAGGTTTTTGTATATATATACATAAAAACATGCCCAAGAATTGCACTGCAATGAAGCAGTCTATGTACACAGAGCTTTTGTATCTTTAAATTCTTGTGAATTCAAAGTCTGAGACTTTAATCCTATTGCCACAAGGTAGTCAGCAAGAGGCCACACATTAACTTCCAGTTCAGTTTGCCTTCTAAAGACTGGAGAAATACTAGTCAACATATGAGGTCTGACATGAAGCCTTTTAGAAAAGAAAAAAGTGAGTGGCTTTTCAAACACAGATCACTTGCAGATGAATTTTCATTGTGGGACTGGGGTCAAATTAAACAAGAACATTAGTTCTTGCCTAAAGTTTTGTCTCCATCATGAAGACAGAACTCATAACTTGAGATATTAACCATATTTCCTTGTAGCCGTATCAGTGTTGGTATGGAAGACGTTTACTATCTGTTTCTCGAATACCACCCTTCAAAAGGAGTTACATGTAAAATGCCAGCTTCTTCAGAGGCATTACAGTTATTTAACAGCCAGTACAGTCAACAACACAACACATAGCAGTTTCATTTTTAATGGAAGATACATATCCTTGCTGAGAAAATTATTACCAGTAAAAAAATCCCATAGAAGTGGATAAGGTACAATGGAGATAGTTTTGTTTGCCAACAAAAGGCACAATTTAATTTGAACAGTAACTCACCTGGTCACATTTTCTAATTTTCCTAAGTACATCTGATCTTCTCTAATTCAACTGCTACTTGTATCATACCACTGTTTTAGTGCAAAAAAAAAAAAGAAGAATATTTTCCCCCTTACCTCTTTGCCAGCCTTTGCTGGAATCTGTCTTTGAGTCTCTCTCAACTTGCGAGCATGGTCAAGTTCTGCCTGAAGTTTTGAAGCCAGTTCCTTCAAAGAAAGTGATTATACTCCATTAGTATAACCATCTGAAACTTTTAAGAGACCTTTATATCGGAATAAACTATTCATTCCATTTTTTTGTGTTTTGAAATTATTATTTAAACTCTAGTGACACAAAAGACTAAATAAGACATGTCAATACAATTTACACAATTCTTTACTGGATAAAAAATTTTAAAAAAATGTTCAGAATAAAAGTATCTGAAGTATAGAAGTATGAATTGCCATAAAAAGAGCAGAAAAAGTATCCTTAAACATTAGTATCTTATACTAAGAAATGCTTTTTTTTACTAATAAATGCTAAGCATAAATATTACTTTATGTATAGACAGCTAAATATGGAAGCTCGAACACATCAGGTGTATAACCTTTCCAGGTTATCCTACGTATCCTTTTATTTTTTTTTACATATACACACATACACATTTATACACACACATGCAAGCAATGGGTCTAGGGAAACATCTCTCAGACATTTTTGCAATGCAGTTTCACATCTCCCCACACTGCATGTCCAACCTTTGCACTTAAGACCTTATTTTGAGTATTAAAATGTACAAAAGGTGAAATATGAGAACCATTTACAATCTTGTGTGAATTGTTTCTGCTGGTCCTGCTCCCTCAACCATCTGTTTATTAAATAAATACAAGTATTTTAGAATATAGACTGCTAAGAATTGCCAGGTGGCAACCCATCAACCTACATGAAACAGAACCACTTATACTCTGACCCCTTTGCCAGTTCCATTGATCGGACTCCAACAAGCATGCCCATACTTGCCACCCCAAAACTAAGTCATTTGGTCAACACCAAGCAGCAAGTCAGTACAAAAACAGATTCAGAATTCATTTGTCGCACACTGTCAACCTTGAGCTCCAGCCATGCTGTTACATAACCACTTGTTCTGGTGTGTGGGGATGAACTTGTTTAAACAAGCTGCATTTTCAATCTGATCAGAGGAAGACCATGAATAATATTTAAAACAAAACAAGGCAAGGATTAGTTTTTTTATTATTTATACTGTTGTTATACTCTCCCTGCAGAACACTGTATATTTTTTGTCAAATTACTCATATTCAGTTACTGTCAGGTGGGACACCCCCTCCCCCAACATTTGCACCCAAGCTTCTGTTTGGGCAATACTATTGAAGCTAAGCAGAAAGGGAAGAAAAAAAGTCTACAAATTTTGCTAATCTCCCTGAAGGTCTTTGGAAAACTTTCCCCTCCCCAGCACTTTTGCAACTAGTGTATAGATAGCTTCAACCATTTTCCCTTGTAGGAAAAAGTCTTACATACTAAAGCAATATCTTAAGTGACTACACCAGTACCTCACAAACCTATCACACAATTACATTCATAAATATATTTTTCTTCAGTAGTGTATTTTCTTAATATTAACTAGGAAAACTACAGATTAAAACATGGAGATATCTTTTTAAATCATTAACACTCATTATATCTTAGTAGGAAATACATTACTTGAAGTTACTTTTAATTCATGTTTGAAGTTAATAAGATTTCAAATGGACAGAATTTGAAAGAAAAGGTATAGCTGTTGAAATACTGTAAAGCTACATACACACATCTATGCCTAAAGTCTGTGGGAGAAGAATTCATAACATAAAACTGGTTTGAAAAGAAAATGTTTATAAAATATGGACAGCATGTCCAAATCCAGCAACAATGCCAAAACATCCTAAAACTTCCCACAAATCAATGAATCAATAGCTCTCAGGGAATACTAATTTAGCTGTTGAAGTCATACTTATTTATTACTTCTTCGTGATGCAGATTTGGTGCAAATATTGTGACACGAGAGGCAAACTAAACAGGTGCAGTAAAAATTAATCTTAAAAAAAAAGATACAAAGGCCCACAGTGATAGGATTTGCTTCTAAAAACTAAGAAAAAAGTTTCTTAAGAGTAGCTATTCAGAGCAAGCACTTAAAAACACAGCTTAAAAACTAACAGACTACTACCTTTTTATAACTGAAACTTCCAGACAGTACTACTGAATGGAATTAACTCATTATAGCCATGTTTAGTGTAATAAAAAATATATATATGTATATACTTCCAGAGTTTAGAGTGTTCCAAAAGAGTGAAATTCTTGATCCTTCAGGATCAGCTTGCTGAATGAAACAAGCCTCCTAAAGCAACACTAAACAGGAGACCCGGTGTCATTGAGGGTAGGCATTTTGTGGAGCTGACCACAAAACATTGTTTGAAACAACTACAGTTGTTCTCAATGCTGAGCTGGATGCAATGGCCTATGCAGTTCCTTTCAGTTTTATATCTCCATACCATAATTAATAAGCATGCTTATAGAGCAGAGCCATGAACCACAAGGACCTACTTGTGACAAAGCTGATTAAACAAGAAAAGCTCCAGAAACTGTCTACCTTGTAACATAGACAGGGAGCTCTGTAGTTTTCACCTGCTCCCTTTCTAATAAAAAGATATAAAATACTATAAAAAAGGCAGAGAACAATTGGGTTTGGGTATGCTGCTTATTCTACAAAGCCTAGGGATCTGAATGCTCTACTCTAGTCTATAAACCATTGCATTTAAAGCAAAAGTTACTTTTGCAGTATCTTCAAACCCTACCAAATTCCGCAGGTCTTTATTACCTTGAATCAATAACCTTTAAAAAAAAAAAAAAGAAACCAAAACAATTAAATCACTGTGAGCTCTAAAGAAAAATTGCAGTAAATCATGACAGTTTTTCAAAGACATTACCATGTCTCCCATGAGTTCTGCTTTCACAATCCTCGCTCCCAGTCTGTTCATCTCCTCTTCACTAAGGACCAGAGGCGGCTCATCCTTTGATGATCTGTAAAACACCAGCTGCACTAAACCCACAGAAAAACACTGCAGTATTCACCCGTGTAATTAAGTATTATTTGCCTACTATACTGGTACATATGCTCGTACTGTCAAAATAATTGAAAACAACATATAAAAATGTATTTGCAGTCAGAAGTTGCCAAGGACTCTGAAGCCAAAGAGCTTGAATAAAATTTTTATGAAGCTTGTTTCCTTTTACTTTTGAGATCAATTAAAATGAAAAGATCTATGAACATTTTCCCAGCACGACAAAACAGTCAAAGAGACAGTAGCAGGTATAAGCAGGCAAAAAGTAAGGGAAAGAGGAACAGAAAGTTATTTCAACCCATTCTAATTCTCTTTTCTGGCTTTGGCCATGCTTTTACTTCTCAGCAAAACTGCCCTTTTCTGAGTTGTCTTCCTGTTAGCCAAAGTGGTCTTCCATCTCTTGAAAACTACTTATTTTCCCATACTTATCTGCTCTCAGTACAATCTCTGCTTCTGAACATGTTATGGCTGATACAGCAGAGTTTCCATGGAAAATTAACTGGTAGCATTTTAAAAATAAGTATCTCTCAGGAAGTCACAGCTAGTGATAAACAGTACTGTATTTTAATTTTAATATTAAAAGGTCAGCATAGGAGTTCTTATAAATAAATAAAGTTCTCTAAGAAATATTGCAAAGAGGCATCAAACAAGTTTGGCTCTTGTTCTCTAACTCTAGGAAAGACTAAAACCAACTAATTCTAAAAGTAAAACATCTAACACAAAAGAGACATAAGAATACAGTTATGATATTTGTTCCTGCTATTAGAAAGAGAATTCACCCACTACTTGATATAGTTAAACCCTGTCAGATTTGAAGAATGGGAAAACTTGAAGATGGTGTCATCTTTAACTGCCAGGTCTCCCCAGTCCTGAGAAAATTACCAATGTTGCTTTTCTTTGTTTTCAAGACCCCTAATTCAGAACTCAAAAACTCAGCAAAATATACCTTAACTTCACCAGAAACAAAACCCTCAAAGCTTACCTTCTCACTTTTCCTTAACCTATATTTTTCAATACCAAGGAAACTATTTAAATAAAGGGAAGAAAGGTGTTTATTACTTCATATATGCTTTTTTTAAGGTGCTAGGGCTTGAGTCATTGTCTGAACTTTTTGAGACTTGAGAAATTGTTTTGATTTGCTTTTTATCTTGTCTCAAATTAAACTTTGAAGCAGTCACATTATTAAGTGTGACTTCCAGCAAACACTAGCTGATGGACTTTTCCTCTGGGAAGACCCCTTGGACATCCAATCAGCACTTCTAATTAATCTGTATCATACTACTGCCCAAAACACTTTGATTTATAGGCTGAAGAAACTTCCTCTGTGCTTTAGAAGAGATAAAACTTAAGAGCTATATTTTCAGCATGAGAGAGAAAGAACTGAACCAGAAACACCTTTTAATTCAAGCCTTCACCTGAAAGAAGATTCACTTCTTGCAACTGACTGACAACACCACTGAAAAAGGACATGTATTACAAGTCTTGAAACTTGTAGAAACTAGCAAGAAAAAGAAAGCAGCAGTTTATCAATTATTTCCAACAGGTAACTACTGCACATATTGAAACCTGAAATGTTCCAAAAGTCAGAATTTTCTACAACATTCTATGAAAAAAAAAAAGACAATTCTCACTGAATGGAATAGGAAGACAGGTCATTCGGTATTTCAAACACACAAAATCTCTGAAGTTAAGAGTCAGCTTAAAGGAACTTGGAAATAAGTTAAATCAGTAAGCAAGGGCTATATGGTTTTCCAAGCCTAAGTAATCTCCACTTTACTAATACGTCAGCTCAGTAATTGTATTGGCTAAGAAATACAATTAAAATATCAAAGAAGATGTGCAATTAGATTTAATAGTACTAAAACAGAAAACACATGCAAAAGAAAATATCAGCTAAACAGTTCCTATGCTTATTCCTCTTTTGTGAGGAAAAGAATTATCACTTCTATCATAATAATTGAATTTTTTGAACTTGAATAAGCAAACCACTTCCGTACACAATTTCATTTCCCAAAATCTCCAGCTTTGTCCAGTTACAATTAGCATTGCACTTACTACATGTGGCAACCAAAAGCTAAAAGGTACAGGTTTTTGTATTTGCAATTAAAAAAAAAAGTGAATCACCATTACTGAACATAGGAAAAAAAAAAAAAGACTAATAGTGCAGCTGCTTCTTTGAAGAAAACAATACTGAGGCAATGGTATCAGAAATTACATGTTCTACTAGGTCTGGCTAGGATGGAATTTACATTTTCCATAGCATTGTGGTGGTGAACTTGCCAACTCTCCAGTTTGCAAAGCTTGGAGGACCATGGTGGAAAGTTGACAAGGGGGCCTGGGCCAAAATTCTCCCCTCCTTGAGGATCAACTCTTGCCCACCGAGGAATTCCAAGACATTTGAAGTATTTCACTGAACTCGAGGAACCCTTAAAACACATACTTTCATACATTTATATACATATATCTTTATATATTTATACACATATACCCCTATAAAATATCTCTTTCTGTCTGTGTGCATGTGTGTATGAATTGATTTAAATACCCTACAGACAGTATAGGATGAATATTGTCATCTCAGATCTATAATTAAGTCACTGTTGTGATTGTAGCAAATCATATTGACTCACTTCAAAAATGTTAAATTAGTCAATGATTAAGTACTGTTAAAATCTTCTGATCCATCTTAAAACTGTGAACAAAGCTCAGACTGCTGCTGTATCAGAAGTCATGTAAAAATTTCATCTGTGGTGAACTGATATTTCTACAACATCGTACTAGGATCACCTTTTGCTGAAATCTTGGACAGTGGTTCTTTAGGTGATCCTAACTGATTACAGATGTAATCCTTTAGATATAAACCGCTCATCAAGTCTGAGACTATGATTGGACCTAGCCACACCCAATCTCCATCAGGAGTTTAGAAGGCAAGGGGGTGTTCACTCAAAACCTCATGACACAATGAGATGGTCTCCCTTACCCCTTTGTGTCTTCAGTCTCTGTGTAAATCATTCTAAACCAATTTTCTCTCAATTTTCCTTTGTATGTTTCACTCATGTAGTAAATAACAGAGTGAACCTTATCACCAAACTTTGTTAAGTCACATTTTTGTAGATTCATATTAAAACCATTTTGGCAAATACCTTTGATGGTGATTCTTTGAGCAACCCTAAACCACTCATTCATGACCAGCAGCCTGTATGGTGCTGTGGTTTGGACTTAACTGGTGACAGCGTTGGTAACACACTGTTGTTTTGGCTGTTGCTGAACAGTGCTTACTCAGCCTCAAGGTTTTCTCTGGGTCTCACTGTGCACTCCCAGCAAGCAGGATGGGGTGAGCAGAGGCTTGGGAGGGTCACAGCCAGGACAGCCAACCCAAACCAGCCAAGGGGCTATTCCATGCCATGTACCATCACGCTCAGGGGAAAAAAGGTTGGAGAGTGCATTCTTTACAAAATAGCTGCTGTTCAAAGACCAGCTGGGCTGCTCATCAGAGGTGGTGAGTGACTGACTGCCTTTGCATCACGTGTTGCTGCCCCTTTCCTTCACTTGTTACACTGCCTTTATTCAATAAGGAGTTTTTCTCCCCTTTGCTCTTCTGATTCCCTCTGCAGAATGGAGAACAAGCAAGCAGCTGGGTACCTGCTTAGCTGCTTACTGGGGGTCAACGCACCACACACACAAAGCAACAACCAGCTCCACATCTTCCCCCTCACCCTCCACCCCCGTTCCTACCCCTCAAGACAGGTGGAAAACAACTGTGGATTGTGGAGACCTTCCTCCTGAATATGCACAAATCAGGACTCAAGAGCAGTGGAAGTCTCACAGGCTTCAGTTCAGAAATACCATGAATCATTCTAATGAGAAGTTTACAAAGTACATTTAACTGGTAAAACCCAGACACTTCAGGGCAATAACTATTTGGACGATATAAAGGAAAACAAAGAGGATTGCTAAATTTGAATGTCTAATAATGTCTCATACATCACAGGTTTAATGCTACAAGACCTTTTTTTCAGAGTAACTAAAACAGGTATAAAAATTTATTTCTCATTTTCCAGCAAAATAGCACCTAGGCAAACACTATAATACAGAGTAAAACAAGAGATGACAAACATTTATGAATGGAATTTCCCATACTATGCAAAACTATTCATGCTAGAATTTGGAACTACTTCTGCCATTACATATATTCAAGCTCATGCTTTTAAAAAAAAATTAGATTAAGTGAACATCACGCAAGTAATTTATATTCTTGCTATTAATGAAAATTTAAATTTCATTGGCTTCTATCAAAGTATAGCAAGCTAAATCTGGAAAAAATACCCAATATATATAAATAAAGAACTGTGTAGACTAGGATGCCTGTTGCTGGTAACTCATGCAGGACTCATTCATGTACATTTTTTCTTTGGAAATACACAGTGAGGTATCTGCAAGTACTACACATAGGGACAATTATAAATAAAATAAACAATTTTAAGGTATCTTCTTATTAGAATCCAACAAATAATTAAAAGTAAATTCATAACCCCACTATAAGAAGTTTTCTGCACATAACTGACATAAGCATACAAGAAAGAAGGAATTACATTTGGTCATATTTCATCAAATGCTGGTTTTAACTAAATCATACCATTCTTCTTACATACTCCAATCAAGACTATTTACTTGTCCAGCTTTCCCAAACAATTAACTAAAACCACCCTGACACTAACATACTTTTGCACACACCCACATATTATTGCCAAGATCTGAAGGAAAGCTTTCACAGTAATAACCACCCTAGACAAATTACTGGGAGAACCAGCAAGCTGCTAATACTGGAGAACAGGAGGCCTTGAGCAGAGCAAAAGGTCAGTTCTCTACAACTTATTTTTCTGACCACTTCTCCTTACTACTCTTTGCTGTCTTTCACTAAAGCAAGTCAGGAAAAATTAAATTCCTAGTGCCTATTAGTTTATGTTTCCCTTCCTACTCCTATTAATCCTTCCTCTTTCCCACACAAAATGCATGTTCTAATCAATACCTTCTATTTTTCTCTACTTAAGCATGTGAATTCATCTCACAGGTGGAAAACCTATCCCTGCTGTATTAATTATTTCAGGTTTTAGTCAGCATTTTGTAACATTTCAAGTTTGTCTTTTATAAATTCATCGACAGTTAAGATATTGTTTTGTAGGTTTTTTGCCTAAGAGGCCAATTTTAATGCAGTGTGAACTAACATTAGAAACAAGCAGAAAATAATCTAGCATTAGCAATTCTCAAATAAGCTGAGGAGACAGGACAAGTAAGGGGTGTTCATTACTTCTGCAGTGGTCTATTGTAGCTGCCCTTAGCTGGAGGCTAGACTCCTCCAAACTAAAGAGATCTGATAGGATCAGTTCTCATACTGCCACAAAGAAGGTAAGAGTTTCTGGTATACTTTGCCATGAAAAATACAGCAAAGAAGAAACAAGTAAAGAAGTTCATAAAATACCTAGAGCATGATGTTTTACTGTCAGATAACGTCTGTTTCTTCTCAGAGATATCGCTTGGGTACTCCTGTCGCAACTTCTCTTTTTCATCACTTGGAGTTCTTTCCCAACTATTGCCATCAGTTTGTTCCCTAGTACCTGATGATTTTTGATCAGATAGTAATTTCTCATTGTTATCTTCACGGTGTGTTTTGGTCCACACGGCAGTATCCTCTTCAGGTTTCTGGAAACGGCTGCTCAAAGAGCTATGAACAGGCAGTTTGGAAGAGGACTGCTCTGACTTGTAGTGTCTAGGTGCACTGTAAGATGATGAATCATCTTCAGAGGGTTTCAAAAATTTGTGTTTCATATTGCTTAAAGATGAACCCTTTTCCTGATTTCGTTTTTCACTGGAGTATTTTTCTCCTTTGGAGCTGCAACCCCTTAATAAGGAGTCCATGCTCCTGTGTCCACATTCTTGGTCTCTTCTTGACATACCTCTTTTGTAATCTTTGTCCTCTTGTGCCCATCCCTTGCCATCCTTCTCCCTAGTATGGCCCCCAAACGTGTTCCTGTTTCTATCATCTTCATCTCGTGTCGTCTTTTCAATATGCTGTTCTTTCTTCTCTCTCTCACTTTCTGAATAGTCAGTTTTCCTCCACCTTCCACTTCTTTGATAATTTTCCTTTCTGGATGCAGCTTTTTCAGCTTCTTCTAATCGTGACTGAAATATCTCCACTGACTATAAAAAAGAATAAAAAAGTCATGACACTTTAAAGACCATGTGGTATTGTTTAAGTATTTTAAATCTGCTGTAGGATCCCATATAATAAAAAAAAATTAACAAAACAAAATGCATAAAAGGCTGGGCAGCTTTAAACTCTTTGTCACTTGAGAGAAGCTTCAAGGGCTGTTTTTTCCTGCTTCTTTCCTTAGGTCTTACACTACACATTAAGTACTTGTGCCTTTTTATGAAAGTAATCTTTTCCAAGCATCTATTAGTACGAAGAAAATTTAATTGAAGATCCTCACCCCATATCTCTCAGCTACAATTTCCTCAAAATTTCGTTTCTCTCTCTCAGCCTGCTCTTTCATCCTTTGGTATGATTTTCGCAGCCAACTTAATCCAGCGTCTTCTACCACTGTAACTAAAGTAGAAAACAATGAGAGGTCACAGTTTTAAATATCAAGTAATTATTCCTATTTAACCTTACTCTGTATGTGACATCAAACCTTCACCTAAACTTAATGTAAAAATTGAATGGGGTGCAAATGAAAAACAGAATTAATAGAATAACACAGTTACATGTTTTCATAAGTTAATACTGGTTATACCTCAGCAATACCACAGATTTAATTTAAGCTTCGCTACTTTATCATAGAACACAACAAGCAGTTTCCAAGACAGGACTAGTATATAAGAAGTTCTGGGGTTTTTTAATGACAATAAAGAGCTTTCTCATTGTTTCCACTTTCTGTGTCTGTTCTTTGGCATACCCCTTATACAGAGACAAGTGGATTCCCCTTCTCAGAAAATGAATGAGCAACCAATTGCTTTCCATTTGAGAAGCTAGCAGAGGTCTTAACATTCTGAACACACACTCACTGATGCCTGTCACCTCTTACAGGTCACTGATCTCTGCGACTCCTAAAGTAGGCATGAGGCTAATGGTTTGCAGGACAGACTGTCTATGGGGAAAGGCTCGCAAAAAGCCACAGACCCCACTCTTCCCTGTTGACAGAAAACAAGGACTCCTTCTTATCACATAATAAATGCTTAATGAAAAATGTTTTTCTAACTGCGCTTGCTGGAAATAGGCAGGATAACTCTGGGGTAAGGAAAGCAGCGAAAAGGTTACAGAAGTCGTATTTTTCATAAACCGCATCTGTAATGTATTTCATTTTAATGTGACTCAGTCTTCTGTAGGTGAATATTTTAAAACAGTAATTTGTGTAATGGAATGAAAGGAACCAAATGAGTCGGTAACAATTTATCTTGTCTTGGTTAAATCACGCTTTCCTTTAATTAGTTCAAAATGGAGAATTTCGGCAAAGATATTGAAGGTCAAACCACTCAAGATTAAAAACCAGTGAATAAACAACAAACAACATACTATAATATGAACCCAATATTCACTACTGAATTTCCATCCAAATTTTACTTTATTACATTATTATTGTTATTATTAATAATATATATATAATTCATAAAGCATTTACAAAAATATTAGCAGTAACTTGTTAGCAACATAGAGATCAGAAACTGCAGTAGAAATTTAAGAATATTACCAGAAGTTGCTGTTTACCTTTCTTAACTGAAGCTTCTTCATCCTTCTCTGGTGGCAAACCTGTACCACCATCTTTCCAATAGGGATTAAGTTCTCTCTCAGACAGCATGGCCTAAAACAGAAATCATTTTAATATGTACACAGCATATGGTTTGTATTTTCTAGATATTTTCTAGAATATCTAATAAATTTTGTGAGACTTGTGTGTGAAGTCTATGTTATATCATCAGTTCACCCCCAACACTGGCATGCTGTATGCATCTGTTATACAGATTGTTTTGAGTATCAAAGAAAGAACAGAGGCTGGTGCAGAAAACACAAGAGTATAAACCTGCATGGGCAGCAAGGAGTTGGGTGGGAGAGTCTATAAAAATCATACTCTTCCAGGATTAGGCATACATATAAATTGTCATTAACCATATATAATACATGCTGACATTCTGATGATTTAAGATCTCCACATTAAATGGTCCTTCAACAGCTCAGCAATAAAGTTCAGTAAAAAAATTATGTGGAGAAAAAAAACAAAAAAAAGATTAATCTCTTCTCAAAAGAAAATAACCAAAGCACCACATACTACACAATAACAGCACTCCACGTCAATCTGGTTCCCAAACACAACTAACTGGAACACTTAACAGCAACAAAGGACTTACTGTAAAATGTAAGGACAAGTAAATATTAGATGGTGATCAGTAACTGTGTTTTGAGATCAGACTACATTGCATTTAAGGTTGTCAATGAAACAGTCATCAACTGTATGTAAATAGAATTAATTTAATGACAGCAACCCCGTGCGGTGAGACCCTGATCCACTCCTGTGTTCACCAGCAACAGGGACATGAAAGGCACAACAACTGCTCTGAATTTTTTCTTCAGGAAAAAACAAGGCTTAGCACTCTAGACTTTAAGACAGTAACTTTAGTAAGCTTTTATCAAACAAACCAATGGTGCTCCTGTCATACACATCATGGAGAAGGTGGCCAGACCAACAATTTGTCATTTTCACTAAGTAAAATATCTCAGGAGCCCTTCAAACATTACAGAACTTAGTATTAACAAAACTGCCTTTCTCCTTACCTAGAATATAGTTTAAAGGCCTTTCTCCACAAGATAAACTTGGCTATATGAAGCCTTCCCATCCCAAACAGACCAATTTAATTAAAATACCTATCACTTCATGCATCAGGCATTAGTTTAAATAACAACAAAGACTTATATATTTGAACCGAGTAGTAAAATGCAGAAAAAATTTAATATATTAATTCCTCCTACCTGCTGAAGTTCTTGAGCTTTCTGTCGTTCCAATACCTTTTCTTTGTGTCTTTCACCTTTGACAGCTGCTACTGATGTTGTTTTCAATGACATGAAGTCTAAATTCATCCATTCTTCTCTCTATAAAATAAAAACAGAGAATCAACGTTCATAATTCCAACAGAAACACGGCTTATGTACAAACCAAACTAGTGCAACTACTGACAAATGTTTCTGACAATAAACAGTACAGGTTTTACAAACACATTTAAAATACTTTAATGAAAAGGAAATACCATTTTAAGAACCTCAATCTTTCAATTTTTTAATACACAAGTAAATTGCATAAATGTCTTTCCATAATTTGAAATATATCTTCACTACATATTTAAGACACTAGTAAACATGAGATTTTACAGACTGCTAATTATTTGCTTCAAGAAACACTGTACATCTCATCTTGTTAATTTTGACCTCCTGACCTTTTATATCTCTTCTAGTGTATACAAAATCTGCAATCAGTAACTGAGCATAGTTTATACCTTGGATATCTAGGCATTAACTGCACCCTCAAACTCAAAAATTATACCTCTGAAACCTGTAAACTGTACCCAAGATATCAGGTAGAAAACTGCATTTACAAAACCTAAGCCAGACCAAGGAGATTTTAAAAATGAGGACTAAGCTACAGAAAAGTGGCATATAAAAAGCCTAGATATAACTACTACGTTTATACACACAAATCCAGAAGCCTCAAAAGAAGGCATGACATACACATACAAGCAATTACTCTATAAAAAGAAGTATTTGGAGCAATTCTATGATTCTAGCATAGAAACCAAAATGACAAGATTATATCTATTTTGAAGCATCTTGCAGAAGAGTCTTGCTATCTTCAATAGGGTTCAAGTCTGAGCTGTCAATCTGAACAGATGCTACATGTCACGCTATCACTGTTATTTAAAAATTATATTAGGCAACACAACAGGGAGTGTCAGGGGTGAAACCCAACATTCCACTTCTCAGATCTCCTCTAAGAGAAAGAACTGAAAAATAATCTATCTTCAAGTGATTCAATAATACCTATGCCCATATTAGCCAGTAACATGAATCAACAAACGTGGATGTGCATGGGACCTCTGGAGAAAGTCATCTGGTCTAAACCCCTGCTCAAGCAGGGACACCCACAGACAGTTGCCCAGGACCATGTAGAGATGGATTGTAAATACATCCAGGGATGGAGATTCCACAACCTCTCCAGGTAACCTGTGCCAGTGCCTGGGCACCCTCACAGTAAAACAGTTTCCTGATGTTCAGAAGGAACCTCCTGTGTTTCAGTTTGTGCTCATTGCTCCTGGTCCTGTCTCTGAACACCACTGAAAAGAGCCTTACTCTGACTCTATACAGGTTTCAGATTTGCGGTTTGAGGATTTTTATTTTTGTTTCTGTCTTTTTCTTTATTTTTTTTTTAAGCAAGCACTCTGGACTAGGCCAAGACTGGTCACATCAAGCACCTTAGGTGCACTTTGAGAACACATCTTCTAATTTAGTTTAATCCAACAGGAAATGGATTTATGTGTTCCAAGACTTCTTCATAATATAAGCTAAAATAAAAAAGTAGGGATGACTAGGAAATTCCTGTCAAAAGTACACTCGTCATCCAAAACCAGACAAGCCCAGGCCATATATTATACCAAAAAACGCTTTAAAAAAAGGTGGTTGCAGTATAAATTATCAAGACACACACTGCATTACTTCATACTTTTCCAAGACAATAGATATGATTCAGAGTCCCTTTTTATTTCTCTTAACAAGATGCACCAATTCAGAATGAGAAACAGGGACTTTTTTCAGGAGAAAAAAAATTTAGACACTAAATTATAAATTATTTCTACACAACTGAGGATGTTGTGGTATGTGACTATACTTGTTACTAAAATCACTGCAGTTCATTTCAGTATTACTCCATTTTCCAGAATACTGGGCACAGAATTCACTCAGGAAAATCAGAAGAGGCACTGATGCCATAAAAACTATCACTGAGAAGTTCTACACCTCTCTTCCTTATATCTGTTTAAGCACCATAGAAGGAAAAATTCACTCAATTATAGAACACCCACCAAAATTATGAAGAAAAAATAACAAATCTAGTCAAGGCCATTAAGCTGACCTCTTCAAGAATATCAAGTTGTTAGATGATGAAAACAAATGATGAAAGGAACAGGTGCAGGGCAACATTAAGAGCAGTGCTTTCTTAAACTCTAAGAGCTATTAGGTAGAGAAGTCTTCCAGTAAATGAAAAGTAGCATTCACCTAGCTAAGCAAAGACATTTGTCTGTAAAGTAGGTTTTGTTCAACACACTGCAAAAGAGCTGTCAAGAAACCTAAGCACGTTTCACAGCTGGTCATGCTGAATTTATCACTGGACTAGTTATCAGCCTGCTCACCTGCAGTGAGGGTTCTTTCACAGCATCTGGTTGCTTGTTGACCTTCCCAGCCTTTTCTGTGTCATCTGACTGTGACACATTTGACTCAACCCATTCAACTGAAGAATCCTAAAAAGAGAGTTTAATGTAAAGAATAATAATAACACCTTAACACATTAGTTGATAAAATGCAATACTAATCAAGTATATTGATAATCAAAATCCTGAATTGATAATCAAAAATTAATCATGATTAACATTACTAATATAATACTGTTTAATATTTTAAAATACTGATAATAAAACCAGAATATTGATATTCCCATACAAGATTGTTCCTTCATGATCAAAAGACTCCATTATACTTCATGAGCACATCACATTATATAACACTACTTCATACTGGTATTTGCATAACACTGCTAAAGCTAAAACTGTCATAATAAAAACAAAATCAAAATCAATTGGGATTACGACATTACAAAAACAAAATAAAAAATGCGTTACTTCATCACTAAGTATGTTTTACACTAAAAAAATAAAATCAGCTACACAGTACAATATAAAGCACTGTACATGCTATTGCCTCCTCTTTTCATATCCAGCTTCCTACACTTGCACTTTTGCACTTGAAGTAAATAGGACTCCATTGACAGCTGCTTTGCTATTTACATGAACCTGTCATAGGAATAACAGACTTTGGATCGAAGTTACAGCCAGGACTGTGTTGTATCCTAGGAGTTGTATCCCTGTTGCGGTCTGAAGGGTTTTGGTGACTCCCATGTGAAAATGCAGGACATTGTGCCTTAGGTTACTTCCCACACTGATATCATAGTTCATCTCTGGTATCAGTCCCTAAAAAATAAATCTCATCATGCTGCACATTCCTTCACTCAACAAAATAGACTCTCTGACTCTCTGAAAATACAAAATCACAGTGCCAGCTGACTCACACCAAAATGCTGGGAAGATGTTTTCCACAATGTGGAAAAACACACTGAAAGCAGCACCAGATTTCTAATGCAGTCTCTGTGCTGTTTTGCCAGTGTCCCTCAATGTGAAAGCATCTGCTTACAGACTCAAATGCACTTGAGTCATGTACAATTTCCATGTTGCTGGGAGTGTCCATGGTTGAACATCCATGGAAAAAGGCAGAAGTAACTCATGCTTAAAATCAAAGTATATTTGCACTTTCAGACACATTGTTCCACCATATACAAGGGTCAACAGGGTACCTACGAATTTTTCCTCTCTATCCCAGAATAAGGACTTTTTATAAATCCTTTAGTTCCTAATGAGTGAATTCAATATTATAAAATTCACAGGCAGCCATATAACAGCCTATGTTAAATTGATTAAATACTCAGTATATTAAAATCGATAAATTTTGCCACAGTTTTTTCCAACAGAAAATGATAAGAATTAGTCTAAATTTTACTAACCACGTCTACCCACAGCAACTACAATGGTTCAAGTTTTAAGACTGTAATTTGAAGTATTTTAGAATTCCTTACTTACCGAAGAACTATCAGATAAGTCATCCTTCTTTTCAGATTTTTGTTTCTTACTTTTCTTCTTTTCTTTCTTAGCTTTTTTTGAATGCTTATCCTTTTTCTTTTTTTTCTGTACAGAATGTTCCTACAAGTAAATGTTTGTAAATGAGATCCAGTAAACCAAATCACACACATACAAGAAGAATAATGACAACCCACTTACCAAACCACACTGAAAAAAGGTAAACCACACATAGCTATGTTTTGCTTTTACTAACCTTTCTCTCTTCTGTGGTGGGAGGGATGGGCTGGGGTGGGGTGGCAGAGGCAGGGAGGGCATGCCTCACATCCATAATTGGTTTTTCTTCCCCCTCTCAATATGTTTTTCACTGAGGCACTATAACTATACATAGAATATCTACTACACTACATTTATTTTGGTTAAATCTATTTCTTCGGGTATCACTACATCATTAACACACATCTTTCCTTTGTTGAAATATCTGCACAGATTGCTACACTAAAAGGATGTGATATTCACAGGCTCCATTAGGATTTCTCCTGTGAGTGACCACAAACAAGACTGCTATGAAGCCTTGGATCCTCCAGATTTCTTCCCATGGGACTTGTCTGGCAGCACTTGCTCTTCTGCATTTTGTAGAAACTAAAGATGGAATTGAATGACGGAAATTTTTTGTCTTTGCAAGTAAAAGATTATTTCCATGTTAAAAAAAGCTAATATCAGAACACAAAGAAATCAGAAATTAGAAAGTTTTTAAAGATCATCTTAAAGCCCTCAAAGCCTTCTATTCACACAAACATGCTGTAAAACTAACAATCCAATTCAATGATTTACAGTTCCATCACCTTTTCCAGTTGTTCCACACGTTCATTCATATCAGCAAGCATCCACATATCTTCACCTTGTGGATGTTTTAGCAGCTTGCACTTCTCCTTTTCATAATTAATTTTGACCTAAGATGAACAGAGAAGAAAAATAACCAGTGAGAGTTCAGTAGCATTTCCTTACAAACACACCTCTGCAAGCCACACTGACACAACCATACACAATGTGAAAAACTGTGCTTGAGAACTTTTCCTTTTAGAGGACAGCAATAAAAACATTTTTGGATTACATGTCAAAGGGGACATTCAGCTAGAACATATTACACACTCGCCTTCTTAAACTACAGCCTTGCAGGTCCTCTATCACTGATTTCATCCCATCATCCCAAATACGTGTGACACAAAGTTTCCATTCTTCATTCTAAGAAGTCTTCTCTTATTGCAACCTTCATGAACTGAATACATGATATGATACAGTGGACTTCTGAGTTTCTAGTTCAAAAAATTCTCTGGGCAATTACTGCATTGCAAAGCACAGCTCACCATCTGTTAGCAAGCCTATCTCTGTGCACATTCAACTTTGAAAATATCTCAGCCAGATACAAACCTTGAAACTGCAGAAATCCACACAAATATTCTAAGGGAGTATACAAGTATACGAGGATCAGCATTTTGGGCTGCAGAATGTTCCTCCCTTTCTGGTTATGGAGATAAAACTAGAAATACTTTCACTACTGCTTCTGAAAAAAATAACCATCACTGCAGACAGTTTCAATTCCTGGAAAGGATTTTTATAAGCCTCATAAATAAAAGAACTATTTTTTTCAGCTTCTGAAGTTCCCTCTATTACTTCCAGCAGAAACTTTCAGAAGCAAGTTTACTTAATATAACTTGACATTAGGAAACTCTTTGTCCCAAAGTGCAATACAGCACATCCTAATTAAACAGGAGGAAAGTTATTTTATATTATTACACCCCTGATTTTGTGTTAGATAAGTCTTGCAAGTTTGAGAGTGCTTTTGGGTTTTTATTTGTTTGAGGGTTTTCTTTTAAAATAACTAAAATCAAAACAAAATGTGGAGTTCGGAATTTTTATCCTGAAACACCAAGTTTCACCAGAAAGTGTTGTCAAACATAAACCAAAGGAACATATACAAGTTTTAAAAAGACCAATATTTAAAACAAACAAACAAAAAATCTCAGGAGATCGGGCAGCTAGTCGAAGTCGTTCCTCCTGGTCAGCTATTAGCTCTCTACATATACACCTGTGCACTGCACAAGACAGTAACCTCCCTACCACAGGCCAGTTTCTCCCTTTCTGATACAGCCAAGAAGGAAATCTGCAGCTTTTGTCCTGACAGCAAACAATGCTTGCAGGAGGATGACCAGTATACTGTAAGGGTTCAAGGAACAGAAATACGTGCCAAAAAAGGTGAGATGAAGAGGATATTTTTTAAAAAAGCACTAATTCACAAGGTAGGACTGCTGTTGTATTTTTTAACATTGTCGCTAGCACTACTGAAAGTGGCACAACACAAAGAACAAAAAACTAAATAAAGCAAAAAAAAAATCAAAATACTACACATCTGTGCCGAAACAAAGTACCCTTTAAAACCTTTCTTGTCTACTTTCTTAGAAACTCCAGGAGATAAAATTTTTAATGCACTTAAATGCAAGCAAAGCAAGGCTGGTACCCAAACTTCTTGATTTTAAACAAAGGAATACTGCAAAACAAAAAATAGTATAAATCAGCTCGAATAAAGAGGTCAAATCTTGGACTTCCACCTCTAGAATGAAGCTGACAGTCTACAAAGGTGAATGCTACCTCTTAAAATATAGAAGGCAAAGATAAAGAAAGAATGAGTTAAGAACACACTGAGTAATTTATTTCAACATCAAAATAATTTTCCAGTTTACAAATAAACAAAACAACAAAAGAATAAGCAGGACTATAATTCAGTGAGAATGAAACAGTCTTTAAGCATAACACAGAGTCATCAAAACCACCCAGGACTCAAAAAAATGCAGGCATGTTTCCTGCTATCCCTCCATGATCCAGAGAGCACACTGGCTAACCCTGGCCACCCTAAGGCATCTGGGACAACACCCTTAAAAATTCATGCAGAAATCACTGACTGATATCTTCTGTTCTAGTCCACTTAGATGATGTTGACCCTTTTGTCTTAAAAATACATTCATTTGACTAAAAAAAAGGTAACTAAACATGGCACATCCCTGGACAAGAGAAGGATAATAACTTCAGCTATGCAACTCACAAAATGTCTACAAGACACATACTCCAAACTTAAATTTATAACTGGACAGAGATGAAACAGTGGAGATAAAGGGAACCTGAATATGGTTCTAGATGGGAAAAAATAAAAATAAAAATAAAAACAGACTCCAAGCTCATTTGCTCCAAAAGTAAACAGAAATCACGTTGCCAAGATGAAGACTGAGAAAAGGACAGGCTTTTTGAACCTTCCATTTCACTTTTGGTTGAGAAAGAACTGTAGCTGGAGTCAACAGTTCCCTTCAACCCCTTTAGCAATTCTCAGGCATATAAATCTACAAAGGCCTCAAATAAAGGTCAGTCAAGATCAGCTTGTCAACACATCTTCATTGAGTATGCTCTCTGCCTGTCACAGGAGATTTAGCCTCATCCTTCTCTATAATAAAAAGTATATTTTAAATAAAATTACTATTTCCTTCATGTTACCACAGTTAGAAATAACATTGCCTAAAATGAGGTTAATATTATAAATATAGTATAAAAGAAGATTTTATACTTTTTATTATATCTAAAATAAACAGAAAAAAAAAAGGCAAGCACTTAGGTAATTGAGATACATGATCCTAATGAAAGAGGTGGATCATCATTTTGGCTGAAGAACACATATTTAGAACACAGATTGACTAGAAATCATCATCAGACTACAGATTGTTGTCTCCCGAATACTAAATGAGACAGAATTGGGCAAGATGAATCTGTAGTGGCAGATCAACCACCACGCTGTTAAGAGAAAGACAGAAACAAAAGCATCGGGTGGAAGTTTGTTTTTTCTTAGATGAAGATGCAAAATATAGAAGATTCTTAACAATATATATACATAAAATAATATTAAAGAAAGCTGCCTAGAGATTTAAAAATATGAAAGAAGTTATATTTTCACATTAATTATCATTTTAACCCAAGACTAGAGAGTTAGCAGTGATACCCTCTGAATCTTTCTATCTCTAAAAACTATCTAGCTCCCTCAAATTACAATATTCATTTTTTATTGTTGGTGATGCTTTCCCCTCACACACACACAATTATTTCAAGTGAGGATGAGGAGGAAAATCTGTCTACATTACTTCATTAGCTTCAAAACTTACCTTTATATTCTACTTGTCTTTTATAAACATGCAGGGCTTACTAGCATCTCATAAAATGTAGAAAAGAAGGAAAAACTAATTAAATCCCCTGTCATACTTACTGTTCTATTTATGAAGGTCAACCCACAGGATTTCAAGCATTTAATTCACATTAAGGTTCATTAATACTTAACATACCACAAAAATATCCAATAATTTATCCTTTCCCCTTTACAAACAAGTACTTAACATGAGGTACATTTTAGGTCATCACTGCAAGATTTTTAAGTTTTTTCTCCATAAATACAGGATGCTACATTTCTGAAATATCTCTATTTCAAGAGTAATGCAACAATCATGCAAATGACTGTGCAAGATACACATGAACAGAGAGAACCATTACAAGCAACAACCTGTCAAGAAGAGCAAGCATCAAGCTACATCATGGACTTCTGTGACACCCTAATAAAGGTGCTCATAGTCTCCTTTGCAACAAACACGAGGTGAAGCCTAGGGCTGGCAAAGCACTTTGAACGGTTAGTTTATAAGGTGCTATTAAAATAATAATTACAGCACTATGTTACCAATGTTTGCCATGGTTAACAAAGGCAAGCTTTGTAGTTTTTACCACAAGCAGGCAAAAGGGTTTTGAATTTCACAGGTCCATCTGGATGTGGGAGGAAACCAAGCTCAAAGAAAGTGATTCCGGTTTTCATTAAGCAGGTCATCAAAGCCAGCCTGCACGGTTGCTGACAACAGTATCTGCTAAACAAAGGATAAAGCTTGCTCCAAAACAGCCCGTAATACACTGCAGACACAAACACCAAAACCTGTAAAAATTACACCATGCCACACCAGGAAGAAGCAGAAAAGATCAAAGACACTGCCAACAGCCAACAGATTTAGGTCACACAATAAATGGAGGTTGTTACACAACAATCCCCAAGGATGTCCAGAAGGGATGATGGGATGTCAACTAGGGGTACAAAATTCCCTCCTCAGCTCACAGAAACCTTGACCAACACTCTTTCCTGACCCCAACTCTATTTACCATTTCAGTTCTCACCAAGGCCAGAGGAAGTTTTCAAGACCACTACAGAGACCATGCAATTTTCTGTCTTTAACTGTGGTGAATTTCTAGCTCTTCAGACAATAATCCCCAGCATTCAATAGTCAATTTCTCCATCCAAAAGAAGAAAAATCACCTTTTCTCCACCAGGAGAAACTCTACAGCACAAATCAGATCAGTACAGCATGATAAAAACATTCAACACAAAGAGCAACAGCTAAGCTGCTCTACTGTCTATGTGTCAGCAAAGGGCAGGACTCCACTCCCATGCCTCTCCTCTCTGCACTCCCCCTCACATGTTCCCACCAACCTTACCCACCCAGGCCTATCCTTGCACTGTAGCCTCAGGAGAAGCCACTTCAAGGACTACCCTGACACAAAATCCCACCAAAAGCAGGGTGTAGCTTCCTGCAGATCAAGCTTACAAGCTGCCACTCTGGCAAGGTCATCAAAGCTACTAGTTAAGTACAAGGAACGAAGAAAAAAATGTGCACTTAGGGGAGAAGTGTGGAAAAAACCTCCTTTCAGCAACAGTTTTCTGTTAGAAAAGTTCAAAAAATCCCCAGTCCTTCAGACATCAACATAAGGTCCCCAAAATACATACAGTGAGCTTTTCTTTCTAATTTCAGGACCACCTCCCATCCTATCATACTAACCCCTCCTCTCAATTAATTGTTTTGATAATCAGCTATCAGAAAGGTTG